ACGAACAACAACAGAACAACAACACAGCAACAAGCACAGGCGAGACCAACGAACAAAACAGCAACAAATCAACAGCAACTAGAACAGCACCACAACACATCAAACAAACAGCATAACACCCTCGGCGACCTTGTATCAGCTCCTACGAAGTATTCCCGTGAGCAGGTCTGAATACGTCACGCCGAATGTGGAGTGGGAGAAGGTGAAAGAGGGGAGACGGAGAGGGCGAGAGAGAGATAAGAGAGAGGGGTTCAAGAGAGAGAAGGGGAGGGAGACCGAGAGAGGGAGAGATAAGAGAGAGGGGGTTCAAGAGAGAAGGGAGGGAGACAGAGAGGGAGAGTGAGAGATAAGAGGGAGGGTTCAAGAGGGGAGGAGGAGGAGAGGGAATCAGGATTCAAAGAGAGAAGGGGAGGGAGAGGTGAGAGATAAGTGGAGGTTTCAAAGAGAGAAGGGGGGATGGAGACGGAAGAGTGGAAAAAGAGTGAGAGTGAGAGAGTGAGAGTGAGAGTGAGAGTGAGAGTGAGAGTGAGAGAGAGAGAGAGAGAGAGAGAGAGAGTGAGAGTGAGAGAGAGGAGGAGAGGAGATGTAGAGAGAGAGAAGAGAGAGAGAGAGAGAGAGAGAGAGAGAGAGAGAGAGAGAGAGAGAGAGAGTGAGAGAGAGAGAGAGAGAGAGAGAGGAGAGAGAGAGAGGAGAGAGAGAGAGAGAGAGAGAGAGCAAAGAGAGAGTTGAGAGAGAGAGAGAGAGAGAGAGAGAGAGGGAAGAGAAGAGAGAAGAGAGAGAAAGAGAGAGAGAGAGGAGAGGGAGAAAAGAGAAAGAGAGAGAGAGAGAGAGAGAGAGAGAGAGAGAGAGAGAGAGAGAGAGAGAAGAGAGAAGAGAGAGAGAGAGAGAGAAGAGAGAGACAGAGGAAGATACAGACAGAGACCGAGAGAGAGAAAAAAAAAGGACTGAAAGACCAGAATAAAACAGAAGTACTAGGAAAGAGAGAGGGGGGGAGAGAGGAAGAGAAGAGAAGCAGAGATAATAGGGTGAGACAACAGTTCTGGAGCGAAGGCGTTCCGGAAAGTCGGGTTCCCTCGCTTCCTAAATCCTCGTCATGCAAATCCGCCAAGAACAGCCTCGGAAAACCTCCTATCTCCCCCCCCCCAATCTCCCTGACAAAATCCCTCATCAAATCCCACTCCTTCCTCCACTCAATCCCTCATCAAACCCCTTGCTCAACCCATCAACTCACTGATCCCTAAATAAACCCTCTATAAATCCAACAAATCCCTCATCAAATCTCCATGAAACCCCTTTCGCTAAAATCCAAAAATCAAATCTCTCAATCCCTCATTAAACCCTCCGTAAATCCCCCATCAACTCCCCCATAAAATTTTTCATTAAACCCTCCACTAAATCCCCCATCCATCCCCCATTAAATCCCTGAAATCACTCTGTAAATCCCCATCAATTCCCCCCATTAAATCTTTAATTAAAACCTTCAACTAAATCCATAAAATCCCTCATTAAATCTCACAAAATCTCCATCAAATCCCTCACTAAATCCCTCTATAAATCAATCAAATCCCTCACTAAATAGGTGGAGGAAGGAATAGGAGAGAATAAAGAAGCAAAAAGGTAATCGGAAGAGGGAGAACAAAGTAAAGGAGAGGGGATAAAGGAGAAAAAATAGAAAGAAAGATGAAAGGAAGAAAATATCTACAATGATGATCAAGACAGAGAGAAAAAAAAAAAAATTCAGAGGAAGAGGCGGATGAAGATAAAAAGGGGGAACAGATAGACAGAAAAGGAAGGAATATTAACCACAAAGTGACAGTAAAAAAAAACATGTACGAGACAATTGATAATTAACAAGTAACTCATAATTGTAATCTCGAAGAAAAAAAATTCCAATCGAAGGACAAAGAAAATGTAATCGAAAAAGGTAAATAAAAAATGCAATCGCGAAAAACCCTGCCAGCCATTAACTAGAAAATCTGCAATCAAATATGCTAACCGGCCATACACAGCCAACTTTTCCACAGTGCAAAATTTCAACAACTATTTCTGCCACGATCTTTGGCCGATGGAATCACAGTTAAACACGCTATTTTTATTCAAAAAAGTCATTGAATCGACGAGCAATGTTGGTAACTGCCATTGCTGTTGTTTTTCCTGTTATTATTATTGTTACAGTTACAGTTGTTACTATTGATGTTGCTGCTGTTGTTACTTTTCTTGTTATTGTTATAGTTGTAGTTGTCACTACTGATATTGTCGTTGCTGCTGCTGTTCCTGTTATTGTTGTTGTTAATGTTATAGATATTCGTACTACTGTTGTTTTCCTTGTTATCGTTATATCTTTGTTTATTGTTATAGTTGCAGTTGTAACTACTGACGTTGCTGTTACCACTGTTATTGCTGTTTTTGCTGTTACCAATCGTTAACATTTACGTTCACTCGCAATTTCCGAGCTCGTGTTGACGACCGGCCTGCGAATTTCCCACTTGTTGCTTCCCACTTTCGCCGAGCCGTCCACTTTTTCCCCCTCCCTCCCCTCCTTTCCCTCCAAGGCCTGAAAGCGGACGACAAGTTTATTTCCGGACGACAGCTGAGAACGACCCAACTCCTCAGCGTTCACGGGCCCATTGCTGTCAACGGGCTGTTCCGCTGTCGAAACTCCGCTGGCGAAACTCCCGAGCGACCGCCGCCGGTAATGCACGGCCACACGCGCCGAGTTGCGACATAGGGCACCGTGCGCGGGCAAGATATAACGGGGATTTTCGGAAAGGAGAGAGGGAGAGGGAGAAGAGAGGGAGAAGGAGGGAGAGAGAGAGAGAGAGAGAGAGGGGAGGAGAAGGAGAGGGGAGGGAGAGGAGAAGAGAGAGAGAGGGAGGGAGGGGGGAGAGGGGAGAGAAGAGGGATGGGGGGAGAGGGGGAGGGGGGAAGGGGAGAGGGAGAGAGGAAGGGAAGGAGGGAGGGAGGGGAGGGAGAGGGAGAGGGAAAGAGAGGAGAGGAGAGGGGGGAGAGGGGAGATGAGGGGATGGGGGGAGAGGGGGAAGAGAGGGATGGGGGAGAGGGGAGAGAGGGATGGGGAGAGGGGGAGAGAGGGATGGGGGAGGGGGAGAGAGGGTGGGGGAAGAGGGGGAAAGGGAGGGGGAGAGGAGGAAAGGAGGGAGGAGAGAGGGAGGGAGGGAGGGAGAGGGGAAGGGAGGAGAGGGAGAGGAGAGGAGAGGAAGAGAGAGGAGAGGGAGAGGAGGGAGGAGAGAGAAGGGGAGAGGAAGAGGGGATGAGAGGAGGAGGAGGGGAGCGAGAGAGAGAGGAGAGAGAGAGAGAAGAGAGAACTCCAATTGTCAAATTACGTTATCTGGATTGGTCTTTCTGCGTGCGGTTTGAAGGGAGGTCGATGGTTAGAAAAATATGAACCATTATTTTTTAGAATTTGATTTCCAGTTCTAGCATGATTAGCTACCATATATGTGCATATTCATGGGCCGGCATATACATTCTCTCTCTCTCTCTCTCTCTCTCTCTCTCTCTCTCTCTCTCTCTCTCTCTCTCTCTCTCTCTCTCTCTCTCTTCTCTCTCTCTCTCTCTCTCTCTCTCTCTCTCTCTCTCTCTCTCTCTTCACTCAACGTCTCCCTCTCCCTGACACTTCCACTTCCCTCTCCCCATCACTCTCCCATCTCACTTTACGTTCCCCTCTCCCCTCTCCATTTCCCTCACCTTCACCCTCTCTCCCTCTTTGTCACACACACACGTTTACATTTTCTCTTTCCTATCCCTCCTTATCCATCTCCACACTCTCTCCCTCTCCCTCCCCTCCCTACCTACCCTCCCCTCCCATCTCCTAAGCTTCCCCGCCTACAATCAACTTTCGAAACTAATGACAACCGGCGAAAAACTGGAAAATTAAAAAAGAAAAAAAATTACCTGTATCCCCCCACCCACCCCCAGTGGCCATAGAGGGCGGTGGCACCTTCATCACCAGGTCACGGGAGATGCAGTTTGACCTACTAAACGTTCGCCCATGACAAGAAAAGGCATTCGTGTGCCGTGTGTTCTTCTCGCCGGTAAATTTAAAATGAGGCTCTGCAATTATCTGGAATCTCCATCTGGTAATAACCTACGATGCACTGCCTTTCACTTGGATAAATGATAAGAAACAGTAACACTAATATCAACGTGTTTTTTTTTTTTTTTTCTTGGTGTGTAATGCCGTACGACAGTTTGGGCGTGGCGCTGAGGCGTTGCTGCCGCTGTGAGTCAATCTTGTTCTCGAGATCAGTTGTTCCCGAGAACCTCTAGCGTAAGGAACCCCCTTCCGCGTGCTCTCCATCCGTCCCTGTGACTGACTCGAATCCTATCAGCATTAAAAGGGGTGATCTAATTTACGACCAGGCGGTTTTGTAGTGAGTGATCGTTTCCACGTGTCGAGTGAGTGAAATCATTGGCCAAAAAATAATAATAAATCATGCAAATACACAACTGGAAAACAATACAGGCCTACAACAACAGTCTCAGAACCCACCAACGCTAGCTGTTAAAACAAACACACAAATTATCCACACATCGATCAAACCGGGTCCTTGCTGAGACACAGAAATCCAAACCGCTGATTACCTAAGACAACAAGCCTACATCTGCCCTCCCCTAAATATATATACAACCAGGTGAGTCCCCTATGTTCACCTATCTCGTACACACACCTTTCACCTTTATTACCCTTCAGCACGCTAGCACACCTGCCGAAGTAACGAGCCACAGCAAAATGCACTTCATGTCGCTCTTCAAGAATGTCATAATGAAGTGTGTTTCAGGTATTAATATTATTCTTAACAAGCTTAGATTAATTAATTCGTCTTCACTAAGTTGAGATCGACAACCAGGTTGGTTGAGCGAGTTGGTAGGGAGGTAGAAATCCGAATTAAAGGTTAGATCCGTGACGCAGTGAGAGGACTGAGAGAGAGAGAGAGAGAGAGAGAGAGAGAGAGAGAGAGAGAGAGGAGAGAGAGAGAGAG